GGTTGGAACTAGATGATCTTTAAGGTCCCTTCCAACCCAAACCATTCTGTGATTTGCGTAAGGGACACGTAAAATGCCATGGATGTCAATTCATTATTATTTATGCCAAATACAATTGGTTTTCCACACCTACAGAGCCATCCCGGGGCAGGCAGCCTTGCCTTGAGAAGCTGCTTACAAATGGAAACAAATACAAAATCCTGTTGGGGGCCATGGGAGTGTTTTCTTAAAAGTCAGATCACATTCCGAGGTAACTGCTTGGTAAAGGATGCCCTGCGGAATCCAGGAATGACACGTTCCCCACCATGTTCCTCTGCCAGGGCACGTAGTGTTAGAGCAGTGGCTCCTCCAAGGTACTCACTCAGCGCGAACCGGCTCCTGCTCCTGGGACACTCCGCCCAGCACGTCCCACCCGCTGTCAGAGGAGCGCGTTTGCGGCGCCTCTCTTCCACAGCACAGCCACAGAGACCGCGACGGATCGCTGTTCCCCAGGACTGATACTCTGCGCAGCTTCTCCATCCAAAACCCATTCTATGGCGCGCGGGTCACAGCACTCCCTGTTCGCCCTGCTGCTACAGGATCAGTCCGCAGATGCCCTCTCCATAGTTCTCCTCCCGCAGGAAAGCCTCTTTACATCCTCCACACCGCCACTGGCACAGCCGCTCACCTTGCAGGGAGAACACCCTACAGCCTACACTGGACTGACAGCTAAGAGCCGCTTTACGTTTGAAAGCAAGTGACAGCAGAGAGCTCTCTATTACCAGATCTGACTGGAGATCCAGAGGCCACCTGAACTGTTTGATATTGCCTTTTTCTCAACCTTTGTTTGCTCTGCCTTTTGTTTTTCCAAGAACATACGGCTCCCAGCAATCACGTATTTTTGCTGTGTGGCACCTAATGCCCAGAAACCAACCGCGGATTGTTAGAGGAAAGTATCCTCCCTAAATTACAGTAAGCACAGAAGATGACAGCAATGAGCTGTAGATAGCAAAGCAGACAGCCAGCTGCCAGAAAGGCTATTCCACCTTAAAACACCCTGCCAGCTTTCGCAGAATCATAGAATCATTTAGGTTGGAAAAGACCTTTAGGATGATCGAGTCGAACCATCAACCCAGCACTGCCAAGTCCACCACTCAACCGTGTCCCTGAGCACCACAGCTGAATGTCTCTGAAACACCCCCAGGGACGGTGACTCAACCACTTCCCTGGGCAGCCCGTCCCAATGACAACCCTTCCGGTGAGGAGATTTCTCCTAATAGTCAATCTAAACCTCCCCTACTGCAGGGGAAACCTTTCAAACCAAAAGATCATGGTGGAGCCATGGCCAGTACACAGGTGGGACAATCCCCAGGAAGGCTTAAAACGGCAGCAGCTCAAGAAGTCGAAGGATACAGAGGTGCCTACCCATGGGAATGTTCCGCCTGGAAATCAGAGGTGCTCCTGACCCACATGGTCTCGCTGAGAGAAGGAGAGGAACACTGTCACATCTAAGCAGTCCTAACTTCCAACACTGTATTTATCTCACTCATAACAAGTGAGAATCTTGATGGAATTAAATCCATGGCAGTTTCTTGCCAGGTTTTGGCACGGACACGGGAACTGCAGTAGCACGGTCAGAAGGCGGCCAGAGAACAGCCTTGGCAGGGTGTGATAGTGAGCATGTTAATGGGGGATTCAGACAAGAAGCGAAACCTAATGTAATGAAAAAGGCCTGACAGAGTCAAGGGTGCCAGAGGCTGTAGTAAACACTGTTAAATTAGGAACATAAACAGTGGAACAGCTCAAGATAGCGGTTTGCCAGGCATTTGTGTTAAAGGTTTAAGATAAGTACTGGGTGGCATGTTACACTCTGAAATGATGTATTTGGCACCTTCCAACGTAAATCCCTAAAAGTGCCACTCATCTGGAAAGCCAGTCGACAGGTGTGTTAAACAACAACTCGACTACGTCCGACATTTCGATGGAAGTGCCGTGAAAGCTAAACCTCTCAGCCTAAAATCGGGGTTTTCTGGGGCGTTTACTTTCCCCCGCCAACGCCCACAGCCAGCACCGGCTGCACAGCCAGCGCAGCCGGAGTGAGAGGTGAGCGACGGCGTAGGGCAAAATCCCAGAGCATTTACAGCGTGCAGGAAGAGGCAAGAAGGAATGTTTTGGCGGGGGGGGCAGGAGGAGGGGGAATGTGGGCGAGAGAGGCAGACCTGTGCTCAAAGTCATCCTGTTTGTAATCCCCGTCACCAAACACTCATTCGGTTATCAGAAACGTTTCAGAGCCCTCGAGATTAACGGCTGGTGCCGCATAAGCAGAGCCTTATATTGGGAGGACGGGGTTACCGGCAAGCACAGTGCGCAGCAGGCGAAGACCACGGCGGGTCCCTGTCCGTTGGGAGTCCAGGCAGTCCCTGAACGAAGTACGTACGTTGCGGGATGGGCAACAGCCTGAAAGCCATAGTGGCTTTTGTGCCCTCCGACGAGTGCCAGAAGTACCTCCTGGAAGACCTGGAAGAGATGCCAGTGGATAAAATGGTGGACCTGAGCGGCCACCAGCTGAGGCGGCTGCCTCTGCACATCTGCTCTTTTCGGGAACTGGTCAAGCTGTACCTGAGCGACAACAACCTGAACCATCTGCCCCCCGAGCTGGAGCAGCTGCAGAACCTGCAGATCCTGGCGCTGGACTTCAACAACTTCAAAGCGCTGCCGCTGGTCGTGTGTACGCTGAAGCAGCTGTGCATCCTCTACGTGGGCAACAACAAGCTCTGCAGCCTGCCCCTCGAGCTCCGGCTCCTCCAGAACCTCAAGACCCTCTGGATCGAGTCCAACTGCCTGCAGTGCCTGCCCGAGGTGGTGTGCGAGCTCAGCCTGCTCAAGACCCTGCATGCCGGCTCCAACGCGCTGCGCACACTCCCCGCCCAGCTGCGGTGCCTGCAGGAGCTGCGCACCATCTGGCTATCGGGCAACCTGCTCTCCGAGTTCCCCTCCGTGCTCCTGGACATGCCTTTTCTGGAGGTGATCGACGTCGACCGCAACTCCATCCGGTTCTTCCCCAGCCTGGCTCACCTCCCCGGCCTGAAGCTGGTCATCTACGACCACAACCCCTGCAGGAACGCACCCAAAGTGGCCAAAGGGGTGCGCAGGGTGGGGAGGTGGTCGGAGGAGACCCCCGAACCCCGCAAGCGGTCCGGGGCAGTGATAGAAATCTCACTGGATGAGAAACCGTTGCCACCTCTGAAAAAGAGCCAGACGCCGAGCCCTGCTGACGCTCAGCTGTCTGCTCCGGTGAGGGATGGCAGCGCTGCCCAGCCTCTCCCTCACTTGCTGCCTCGGCTTCTGGAGCAGGTGCACTGGTTTAGACCTAGGCGACAGCAAGCCAGACACCCCCTTTTTACACAGCACCCAGCACTCCCTCTAGAGCCGAGACTTCCTCCCTTTCCCTTCTCTTCCCACGCAGGGCCCACTCAGAGCTCACAGGGGAGATGAAGACGTGGCTTAGATGTTTTCCGTGGCTGGACTGTATGTAAAGAGCATGTATGGACTCGCAGCCTCTTCACCCGTGGGCTCGCTCTTCTCACCCCCACCGTGCCTGGGTGTCCGAGGTGGGAGTCACCGCACCGCAGTCACCCACAGCATCTCTCAAATGACTCTGAAATGCAGCAGCAGCAGCCTGAAGGTTTCCCTGCACGCTGCCGGGGAAGCGGGAGCAGAGCCCCGGCTGCGCTATCAAGGAAACCGCGTACGTCCCCGCCAGCGCTCTCTCCTCCCACCGCTGCTGTCTTCAGCCTGCAAAACGTGTGGCCGCTCTCGTTTTGTTGTTGCCAAGCAGCATTTTAAACAACGGTGAGGAAAGCCGGAGGCTCTGCTGCTAGTTTTAACGTTACGGACGACGCTGCTGTACATGCCGAGCTTTCAGGCGGCAGCAAAGAAGAAAATCACCACCTGACCGAAACGGAAAAACCACGAGAGCCGAAGGGAGACGTGCAGCACCCAGGGGCTGGAGCCTGCCGCTGCAAGCCTGCACAGAAGCGAGGCTGAGGTGAACTTTACTCAGCTGACTTCAGACGGGTGTTTCTCCAGCCTGCAAATCCGAACGGTTCCAATTCCTTTGGAAAGGCACTGAACTTCATGTTTTGTTTTAACTGTGAAACATGGCAATCTGGCTCAAAATGACGTTTTTAGCTCCCGCTTCCCTTGCACGGACGACTGAGTTTGGGAAAAGACTGCTGGTTTCAGAAGGGTGGGGAGCCCGAGGTGGTGCAGAACAGCCGCTTCCCCTCCGCCTCGCTGGCCCATGGCACCATCCCACCAGCGCAGCCTGCAGAAGCGGCGGTCGATTTCCCAGAACGTGTTTGACTCGATGCCAGCGCGTGACTGCTCCGTGTCACTTACATCCCTGAAAAATTATCTGGAGACGCACAGACTCCCCTAGCACTTGTCATCTCGTTAAAGGATGTCTGGATTTGGATCTGGCTGGCACCCGGGCAGTGTGCTTACTTAAATAAATTAAATAAAGGCATACTAGCATCTCACCAAGTTAAACCATCCTTCTTTGGAAAGTGAGAATTCAGCTAATTCCAAATTCTTTATCTAACCTCGTTCCAACAAACTATTTCTTCCTACAAAAGAAAATTATTCCATTTGTTTTGTTTTTTTTTTTAACATCCAAGTTCAAGGTTTTATTTTCTGCAGAGCCGAGCAGGTGCTTTGTTTATCCAGGGGGTGGGGAAGAAAGTGCTTTCACCTGCTCGTCAACACTCTGTATTTAACTGTCACTTTTGGAGACCCGGAGTCTGCTCTGGGAGTCTGGAGGAGCGTGCCATAAGCAGACTGTCTGCCACGGCGCTGCGTTCTACCTGCAAGGGCGGGAGGGGCCACCAGGCCCAGCCAGCACCTCTCATCGCCTCCATGTGCGGTCACCGAGAGCCAGCGTGAAGGCTGCTGCAGGCATCTGGGCCTTCCTGATGGCCCGAGCGCAAACTAGGCCCGTCAAGGAACGCATTGCCTCAGCAGCACTGACTGGAATAGGAAAGAGAATATAAAGGTAGGATACAACAGGCATGGAAAAGGCGAGAGGGGAATGCGACGCAGCCTGGCATGTTTCCCACTAACTGCCCTCTGTCACAGTAAGAGGAGTTTGTAAAGTCGGCCCGAGTCCAGTACTTCACAAACACAGTGTTTGGTTCAGGTGCCCATCTCTCTCCCAGACTGCATCTTCCTCTCAGCCCTCCCAGCAGAACTCCTACCTACATAACATCTGTGGTGTAAAGAGCTGTAAAATCCCCTAAATTGTAGGTCTGGGCACTGACCAAGCTTCCTCTCCAGCTTCTTCTCTTCCTTTCATCATCAAAAAAATGAGCAACACTCCAGTTATCACTAGAAAAAGAGAACGTTGCACTTCAGAGTCTATTTCTAGGATCCCACCTCAAGACCTACACGGCCAGGACTGGGATAAACCACTCGCAGTGAACGCGCCGGGCCAACCCCAACCAGCACGCTGGGCAGGTGTGAGAGGACACCCTTGACTGCCTGCCCAGCGCTTGAAGTGTCTGAGGATGCACCATCCCTTTGCTAACAGCCCTGCTTGGTCCTACACAAAGACAAACACAACTTTCGTGAATCTGAATTTATTTTTTTAAATTTCTGTGTATTTTAAGTGGAACCCAGAGAGGAACAGAAGGGTTATAGGGTTGTACAACACCCCTGCTTTACTTGAAAGTGACTCTTCCCCACAACACATTATCAACTGAAATAAGTTAAGACCAACTGAAGACAGTGCTTGTTTCACGCTGCCGATGAAGATTCTGTTCGTCTCAACCTTCTGTTCCACAACCTCACGAAAACTAGATCATTAAAAAAACCAAACAACCTACTAGGTGTGACCTGGTCCACACATCCTTGGGTAATGAAGAAAATTTAACATGGGCGATGGTCTGGTACCCGTTTTCTGGGAAGAAAAAGAAAAAAACATCATAAAATCCCCCCATGCTGATGTTCACCAGCATTCCCCCCCCCCCGATTTTTTGATGCTCAGCGCTAGCTGTATCCCACAGCTCAACCGGCCGTACCGCCTCCAAGCCAATTCGCCACCTCTGGCCACAGTAAGGAACTGCGATCACACGTGAAGCAGCACGAGCCGCCCGGCAGCAGGCAAGCATGGGATAAACCTGCCTGCAGGAGAAATTTCTTCCCAAACTTCGTTTGTTTTAGCTGCAGATTCTGCTTCAGAAGCAGCTGGGAATTGAACTGCAATTCTGGCCCAAAATAAAAACAGAGCCTGATCGCTCACGGTTTGGTCAGCCACTTTTGCAGACGTTTTACCTACGGCACGCAGGTAGCCAGTGACCAGATGAGGTAGCCATGGCTTGGGCATGCCAACTGAAGCGCGCCGATGGCTCTAAAGACCTGCTCACACTCCCAATGCAAAAAAAAAACCACCCAAATCACGTAACATGAACGTTAGCATGTCAGATGTCAGCCCACATGTCAAAGGAAGCACTTTTAGAACAAGACTTCACAGAGTTGCTCTGCCACAGGAGGAGGTTGCTCGATACCGCCGTACTGACCACACAGATGCTCAGCTCATACCTTGGTGCCGCTTTAATGATGTCGTCTACACGAAGAATCATTTCTGCTGCTTCAGCTGCGCTCAGCAAAACTTGCCTCTTGACTTGGAAACTTTCCGTCACTCCCAAGACTGCCATGTCTCCAATGGTACCCTCTTTCATATCTTGAAGAGACAGAGGAGGAGGTTGGTTTTTAACTTGGGGGTGTTTTGAAGGAAATTACAAGAAGCTGACAGTATGGTAACTTACCTGCTCAAATAAACCATCCTGATAGCAAGGGAAGTATTAAATAGTCTTTCACATCAAAGATTTAAGCCTAACATGTTGCAATTACTTAGAAAAAAGTAAATGCTGAAAACCTTACACGCTGGGAGGAGGAGACAAAATCCCAAGGGGACTCTCAGCACCATTTCCTCAGGTGTATCAACTTCAGAGTTCTTCTCCACAACCTTTAAGTATTTTTTTCAGGAGGTGTTTCCTCGTGTTGGGGTACTGTCTGGTTTTAAATCAATGCCTTTCTTTCTAAGCTTCATAAAACTAGACTCAACGTTAAGTAAGGAAAGTGGGTTTTACAGGTGGAAACCACCCCCTTCAAAAACAGAGCTCGTCACTCTAGTGTGAAAAGCCTGGCAGAATGACAAAGGAATGAACATTGTATGCCTCCGTTCCATCAAAGCAAACAGAAGTCAATGTACTCAGTTCTTCCAGCTGAATACATTAGCAACAAACAGATGTGACCAAGCTGAGTAAGCCCAATCCCCCTCCCAAATACCAACCCGGTAACAGAAGTAGTAGTGAGACCCTTACCAAGTCCGTAAGTTGTCTTCCCCTCACTGTGAGCAGCTCTGAGCTGAGCAACCAAATCTGCACTGTCATAGCCAGCGTTATCAGCTATTATAGTTGGGATCTAAGGGGAGGAACACAGGTTGGTTTTTGTTAACACAGGGATTGATCCCTAGCAGGCATGAAACATACTTTGCTATTACTAGTTTACTATTCAGTGAGAAGCTACTAGAAGCTTCCCCCATGTCTGACAGAGCCAACGCCAGCTGGCTCCAAGACAGACCCGCCACTGGCCAACGCCGAGACCATCAGTGACACTGGTAGCACCTCTGGGACAGAATGGTTATAGGGGGAAAAAAAAACCATGGAAGAGAGTAGATTTTGCAGACGGAGAGAGCAAGATGTGAGAAAGGGAACTCTGAAGACACCCAAGTCGGTGGAGGAGGAGGTGCTCCAGGCACCAGAGCAGGTTCCCCAGCAGCCCGTGGTGCAGCCCATGATGAGGCCGGCTGTGCCCCTGCAGCCATGGAGGGTCACAGGGGAGCAGAGACCCACCTGCAGCCCAGGAAGGACCCCACACTGGAGAAGGTGGATGCCTGAAGGAGGCTGTGACCCTGTGGGAAGCCCAGGCTGGAGCAGGCTCCTGACAGGAGCTGTGGCCCCATGGAGAGAGAAGCCCAGGCTGGAGCAGGTTTGCTGGCAGGACTTGTGACCCTGGGAGGGACCCAGGCTGGAGCAGGCTGCTCCTGAAGGACAGCATGCCGTGGGAGGGACCTACACTGGAGCAGTTAATGAAGAATTGTAGCCCATGGGAAGGACTCATGTTGCAGAAGTTCATGAAGGACTGTCTCCCGTGGGAGGGATCCCACGCTGGAACAGGGGAAAAAAGTGTGAGGAGTCCTGTCTCTGAGAAGCAGAGACAAGGTGTGATGAACTGACCATAAGCTCCATTCCCTACGCCCTTGCACCACCTGGGGGGAGGAGGTAGAGAAATGAGGGGTGAAGTTGAGCCCATGAAGAAGGGAGGGGTGGGGGAAGGCGTTTCAAGATTTGGTTTAAGTTGTCTTTTTACTCTGATTTGATTGGTGATAAATTAAATTAATTTACTCCCCAAGCTGAACTTGTTTTGCCCATTAATTGCTGAATGACCCCTTCCTGTCCTTATCTCAACCCACAAGCCTTTCACCCTATTTTCTCTCCCCTGCCCAGCTGAAGAGGGCAGTGATAGAGCAGCTGCGGTGGGCACCTGGCCTCCGGCCAGGGTCAACCCACCACAGAAATGTGTCTGTCATCATTTCAGATCACAACTGGAGAAAAGGTTTCACTTTAAGAGCATGAGCTTGCTGGTAAACATTAACCACCAAACTGCCCTGTTCACTGAAGTGACAGCAGTAATTGCATGTGCTGACTGAAGAGGTAATGCCAAGCCTTACCATGCTCTTTAATTTAATTTTCTTGGAAGAAATGTTTTCCTATGGTCTTTCATTTCTTAAGAAAGATTTTCCCTAATTTAAAACACAGGAAGGCATTTTTTTCTCCAACTGACAGCATGTTAGCGCAGTAACATTCTACAGAGTATCACAAGAAACATTTATTTCCTACTAAGACACAATCTCCACTGCAAGTCTAGAAACTTCTAGATAGCACTACAGCATGAATACAATCAATCAGCACCAGCGTATCAACAGAACAGAGGGGCTACTCTTCTCTAAATCAGTTGTCAGCTGATTCAGCTGAGATTTTTGTGTGTTATTTCTGTTGCACTTCTAACCTCACAGGTAAGAGGCAAGAACCAGTTAGAAGAGGGCTGGAATATGAACACTGAGAATTCTGTAACATGCAGAACTATTAAAGCATCAAGAGTTTTTGTCTAAGACAGAAAACATTAACTTTTTCCCCTTTGTTCATCCAAGATATATTGCTAAATTTCACTTTTTTACTTTTAGAAAACCAAACCTTTGACAGAGAAGCACCTGACTGATGTCAGAAGTCAGTAAGCTTAGTGAAGCTTCATGCCCATTAATCCAGCAATCTGATTAAACAAACTTACCATTCGTAAAGCCTTAGCAAAGGACTCCATTGCAACAGACTCTTTGCCAGGTGTTCTGATGGCAAGCTCTGCAACCGCGTTAGCCATCAGCATCTCTGAACAGCCTATTCATCGAAGAGACAGACATGTTTTATATCGGCCCCAAACAGCAATACGAAATGTACAAGTACAAAGGATCTGATATTCACCTCCACCGTACACAGTTCTAGTGTCCTTCACAGTCTGAGCAAGAACACAGAGAGCATCATGCAAAGACCTCTCCGCTTCATCCAGAATCTGCTGCGTTGCTCCACGCAGAACTATGGTGCAAGCTTCACCTAAAAAGCACAAATGCAAAACAATTTAGAAAAACAAAAAAACCCAACAAAACAAAGACAAAAAGCGGTTATCGCAAAGCATTTGTAATGGTTTTGCCATCACTGCTGTCAAGTTTTACGGAGATCAGTTTGGGGGGAAAGAGAAAGCATGACGACATCTCACAGGCAGAATGACGGGATGCACACTATGCTACTGCTTTCATTAATGAACTGTTCCACAACACCTCATTTAATTTAATAGAAAATGAATGTTATCCAAAACGACCCCTCGGAAACGTTTACTAGAACGAGCTCTCAAGTCCTTAAAGTATGGCAGATTGATACTTTTCTTGTCAACTTCATCTCCCAAAGCAGAAATTCTGGTTTCTAACCTTACAGATGTGTATGTTTAATGTTACGCAGATGAACAATTTCAACTGTGAACGTCGGTCTTTCTTGAAGAGGAAGGCTTTAATAACAATGGTTACATGAACCATTACAACATTCCTGTGCCAACCTGGTAACTGAACAGCATTAGCAGAGGGTTAACACAGAAGTTGCAACACGCCACTAGTAGCAAAACACTTACCCATTGCCACTCCAGAGAAATGAATGAGTTTATCTTCTCCAATCATGACCTCTTCAATAAGCTTGCAGCTTCCTAGTTTTACTAGCTCAGGGTGATCAAAGGTTGATGCAATTTCGCCACCTACAAATGTAAGATCATACAAAAGTCAAAGAGCTCACGACAGCATCCGCTCAGGCAAGGTCTAACCTAGGTGGGGGATAAGGGCAGAACTGATAAAAAAACCAAACATCTTCGTAATTGTAAAAGAAATTAACAATACTGATAAGGCAAACTTTCCCAATGTCAGCATATGGGACCAGAAACCTACTACTGATGTTGCCAAATCCTTAAAACACCAATATTTTGTTTCACATCACAAGACCTACTACAAAAGCTGTAATGCTTGCGAGTTCTGTCTGGATTGGAGACTAAATGTTGGTATGTGCCAGTATTAGAATGCCCACCTGTTGAAGTTTTAACCGTGTTTACTGATGAAGTATTTATAAAACACTAAATCAAGTTTGGTATGTTTTTAAACTTGATCATGTGCCAGCATTCACTCTGCCTGCCTGAGGATGGTTGAAAACTGCTGGCCACCACTCTCCTGAATCATAAGCGTCATGCCATGTCGTAGCAGCAATATCGTGCCCTACTTGTAGACCCAACAGGGAGTACAAAGACCAAAATGTCCCTGAGCAGCCTATTGTTCTAGTACTTTGCTCTTCCCATTAGAGAACGATTTACATGTATTCACTTCCAACATACACTCAATTATTCCACATTAGCTCACACCACTGCTGTAGCACCACAAGAAAGAAGACAAGATTTGTAGTAGAGAGTTTGTGCCTACTTGACATGAAGTAGGGCTGGAGCACCTCTCCTATGATGAAAGGCTGCAAGAATTGGGCGTGTTCAGCCTGGAGAAGAGGAGGCTCCAAGAAGACCTCATTGCAGCTTTCCAGTCCCTGACGGGGCCTACAAGGGTGCTGGGAGAGGACTTTTTACAAGCGCCTGTAGTGACAGGACAAGGGGTAATGGGCACAAATTGAAAACAGGGAGGTTTAGATTAGATATCAGGAAGAAATTCTTCACAGAGAGGGTGGGGAGGCACTGGAACAGGTTGCCCAGAGAAGCTGTGGATGCCCCATCCCTGGAAGTGTCCAAGGCCAGGCCTGGATGAGGCTCTGAGCAACCTGGTCTAGTGGAAGGTGTCCCTGCCCATGGCAGGGGGGGTGGAACTAGATGATCTTTAAGATCCCTTCCAACCCAAACCATTCTATGATTCTATGAAGTAGTCTGTCCTCCTTAAATACAAACAGCTTGTCTGGTTTGTTTTTCAGCTATGCTATCTGATCCAGCGTGGTCTGACATGGTTCACTGTCTCTGCCTACAACATTTGTTTTGAATGTTTTCCGGAATATAGGCAGTGTTCCTCTCAATCCAGCGTTTGCCTGCGTCAAGGTGCCTACAGACACTTACACGCTATCGCTACTGCAGTTTTGCTGAGCTAAACAGGTCAGTATCTCTTCCTTTCTCCCCACAAACTCTCCATCCTCCCGATCACTTTCCCATTCAACTTCTTATGATGTTCCAGTTGACTGTCTCTAACTCCATCAATGAGAATCACCAGCAGCATTACAGATGTTTCATTCGCATTAGTTATTAGTCACGTTTACACTGACCCCTACTAAAAATACCCGGGTTGTTCCTGTGATTTGAGGTCTACCTCAAGTCAACGACCCAGGCCCGCATTTTTAACTCAGGATGACTCTTTAGACTTCTCTGTTATTACAATCAAACAAGACCCATTTGTAACAAGATGGTATTAACTACCTTGTGGATTTATATCTTATTCTATTGCTTTCAACTTCTCCATAGAAAACAAATTTTTGAAAAGTTTATCAAACAGGGACTGAACTGTAAATATTTTTAAAATAGGAAAGAAAATTACGAACTGGCCCTAACTGGCTATATTATATTCCACAGTCAGCATTATGATCCTTCATTCACAATTGCTAGAGAAAAAGCTTATTTGGAGTACTTTCCCAGATCTGATCAATCGTAAAGAGTGTAAACTAGGTGATGAAGCATTAGTAAAGATCAAATCCTGTCACTCCCCCAAGTTCCACGGAAGGTACTCCACAAACCTGTAACAAGAGCCAGGCGCTCTACACCAGCAAAGTCTGCGTGTTCAATAGCCATGACGCCAGCAGCTCCGAAGAGCTGTTCAGGGTAGTTGTAGATCAACTGCCTACAATTAAAACACAGGCACACCTTCCCATTAAACAAAGAACAAGCCTTTTAAATCCCAGAGTAACAAAGGACGCACAGTTCATAGCAGCATGGACATGGGCAGATTTCAAAAGCTACAGAAGCAGTCAATATGTGAGACACATGGAATGTCACACCACACAGGAGCAGATGCAGTGACAGGAAAACATACGAAGCTAAAAAAACCCCAAACAAAAAATCCAACTATTACAGCTCTCTGAAACACCCTGCCCCTGAAGACACACTATCAATGCACAGGGATTCATATGTTCCACACTCTAAGTGCTTTGAGCCTAAGCACCTGCTGGGCACTCAACTGCCTATTCTAGCAGGGTGCATTACAGCAACACGGGAAGGAACATCTTCAATTCCAGCACCAATATGAAATCCCAACCACAGACAACTCTATGGGAACAATAAACGCCCAGTCTTGTGGCATACACAAATAGCAGACTGCAGAGAAGAGTGAGTACATGCTCCCTTATTAGTATATTCTCCCTCAAACAAAAGAGTCATCCTAAGTTGTTCAGTCATTCATCATGCCGGAGCACTACGCCAAATTATTTTTCCCTTCCAAATTAGAGATTGGGTGTCTTAGAGATTCAATCTCTGCCAAAAAAGATGTTTCTACTCTATCTTCGGAAGCGACAACTGGCACTGCTGGGTATGCACAGGGAAGGTTCTCCTTACTGTGGGTTCATATAGCCTTGGCCCCTGCCAAGCACCTCCTCAGCAGCGTTTAAGTTGCAGCTGGGAGTTGGGACAGGGGGGTGTCTCCCTCTCTGGCTTAGTCTGACTCTCACGCTCTGAGTCTTGTGCTCCCCAGCTCTGGCTTTCGACACTAACTGCGTTACAAAATCCACTCCTTTTTCCAGAAAATACATACCTGTTAATAAAGCAGTTTATTCCATGCTTAAGAATACGGTCTACCTTCTCCTTCATTTTTTCTTTTTCTGCCTGTTCTATTTCTGCAACCTTTGCTGTAGAGTCCACTCTAACGCGAGAGCCAAAAATCTAAATCAAAGAAAACAGAGTTCAGCCTAAACGGGAATCCCATTTACAAAACCACTGCTTCACAGCAGTTCTGTCACGTACCTTAATCTTGTCTGTATCCATACCAGTATTTGCAATAAGAATCTTGGCATTTTCAATTCTTTTTGGCTGATTTACACCGATCTTCTTGTCGAGTAAAAAGCCTGTAGGAACAGAAAGGTCTTGTAAGACTTCATATCAAAAGAGGAGAACAATCTACTTACATTACTAAAAAACCCCCTCATATTTAGTACTCAATAATAACAGAGCAATGTTTCCATTCGAACAGATTTGTATAGAGAGGTGTAACTTCTAACAGCTTCATTTCTCAAGCACACTTATAGTCAACGTACAAAGACTTACCTTCATCTAAGTAGGAATCAGCCAAACTTCCACCAAGTTTCTTAATGACATGGATAGCCTCCAAATTACCAGAACCTTTCAACCTAAGAACAGCTTCTACAGCTAGCTTCACAAAGTGATCTTTATGATGAGTAAGTAATTTTGATGAAAGAGTGGTTCCCGCAATGTTCATCAAGTCTTCACGGAACTTCACTTCATCATTACTAAAATAAAGTCAATACAGTTAAAGTTAAAAGTCTGAAAGACTTAACTATCAGTAACTTACCACTGTGAGTCTCTCCCTGCTTCTTCTAGCTTGCATCTATGTGTACCATGTTCCACGTGGAGGAATGCCACACAGAACCTTCTTTTTGAAATAGGAGAACTCTGCACTCATCTTTAGAAAGCCAGTGCTCTCAGAGGGTCGCATGAAGAAAACAGTTGCATTTAAAATAAAGAGTATGAAATCTGAAATAACAGCTCAGATTTTTGTTCTAGGGAGCAAATTATTGCTCACATTCTGTTTCTGCACATCATAAGGAATCTTGATTAATTTCATAAAGCTTCCGTAGTTCATCTAAAGAAAAAGTAGTCTTTTTTCTTAACTGTTAAAATTCATAAATTCAGGTTTCACGCTACTTAAAAGACACTGAAGAATTTCCCAATGGTATGTAATTCTCACTGATGTTTTTATCTTGACTGGTCTGTAATGAGTTACTGCAAATGTACATTACTCACCCATGATCCACAGCCGCTTTCAAAAGTGCCTCTCGTGAAGCTTTTGTGGCTGCTCTCCAGCCTGCAATGATGGTCTGGGGATGAATCTTCTTTGAAATCAGTAATTCTGCCTCCTATTTAAATGAAATTAATGATTAGGCTTTTCCCAAAGGTACATTTGCACTAAAGAAGACACTTCCAAGTAATCAAAAACTTCTGAATGGCAGTAAAAGCCAGAGAGCTGTAACATTGAAATCAAAGTCACCCTACTGGCAGGGTTTTGTTCTTTTTTTTTCTCCCAGTCTAGGTAAATATGATATGCTCATAGAGTAGCATCAAGAAGTTTTGGTTGATTACCAAAACCCCTCAACCTCAATAGGAATAGCAACCAGACATATCCTTCAAAATAGCAATCTTTCATGTCTGAGATTAGTCTCCTGTTCGCTTAGAGCTGCAACTTGAAGTGTAGCTGAAAAAAACCCCAAACTATCTTCAAACTCCCTTTTTGGGAGGAACTCAGCAAGCTGATGGATCATATCTCAAATGCTCTTGATCACAGTTCCTGGATTGGACATGAGTAGATTTACTGGCACAGCCCTGCTAACAAGAGTTACTCACTTCTGAAGTCTCTTTCATAGTCATTTCAGATTAGAGTTTGGCAGCGTAAACTCTGTATGCAGAGTTTAAAGCAAGAGCATGAAGTCAGGCCTCATGCACACAGGAACGCAATTTTACATGCCCTCTTTCTTTTTTTTTTTTTTAATTTCTCATTAATGTTATGGAAAAGGATTTCAGAGAACTGAATCTAACAACTAAGCAGTGCTGCATGCTGCCCAGCACAACATCTAAGAAGTGACCCGTGAGACTGATACATCTTTTTCACTTGCATAAGGGAGTAAGAGAAAATAATCTTTTAAATGTACCAAATCAGAATACTTGTGAATTTATAAATAATAAGTAAAATAGTCTAAAATTAATTTTTAAAAACATGATGATGCAATATCTAAGGGTTTGGGGTTTTTTCCCCCATCAATTTCAAGCCCCACGAAGCAAAGTATGCCTATACTATGGAAGCCCTCTTCATACGCATCAAATAGGACACCTCCTATTGATGTCACAGAGGTACACTGCTGAACAGAAAGAGGTCAGAAAAACTGTAATACATCACCCTCAGTAACTCAGCTGCCAACACTGTGACAGACGTAGTTCCATCACCAACTTCATCATCCTGAACCTTTGACATATCTGAAGAAAGAAGTCGCTGCATTAATGGTTTGATTCAAAACACCGTGCTCACCTATACCAACTTGACATACGATTACTTTTATCTCACATCAGTTTGGAGAAGAAAAAAAGAATCTTACTCCTCAACAGTTTAAAGAGGTTACTCTGTCAGTCACAGAAAAACCCAATATGCAAATCAAATTCAGCATCCTTCAAATTCCTGCTCTTCATCTGCAATCTAGACACCAGTTCCAGTCTGGCAATGGTCAAGTGCTACTTCTCTCTCTCCCCATTCCAAAAGGACAGCCAAAGGAAGTAGGGCCAGACAGAAGCTCTGAAGTATATGTACAGGACCAGAGAACATAACCAAGTATGCCACGTGAATTGTTCAGAAACAAGGACCCAGCAAACACGAAACCATCACAAAATTTGACACCAAATTGTCCAGGATGCTGCTTGTCCTTAGAACTGGAGCAGTTGCACACCAAGACAGTCGATCACAAAGGTAAACACTCTCCCTAGTACAGTGTCGATTAAGTGATAAAAAGAGATTTAAATCAGGGAGAACCAGAGAGAATCTCTGTAGCCCAGTAGATTTCCATTCCAAATTTTCCCTGTGAAAAAAAGAAGGGTGCAGACGAAAGGGACTCCTGTCCCTTTTGACTCCTGGGACAAACCAGGGTTGAGGGAAAACAAGAATACACCAGAGCAGTTTTCTAAGAACAGCATATACCTCAATTTTACTTTTGCAGAATGCCACAACTCTTGCAACATCTGGGCCTCCTTACTTCCCCTTCTGCCCCACACCCCCCTTCAATTTTTAACATTATTTGAGGAATGCTTTTCCAAGAAGAAATAAAAACTACCTAAGAAATTTACAGATGAAGAAGAGCCAAGTACTCCAATGACAAGCTGGTAAAAACTCACCAACCAAGACCTTGGCAGCTGGGTTGTCAACTCCAATAGCTTTCAGGATGGTTGCACCATCATTGGTAACCGTTACTGTGCTGTCTCTCCCTGTACTTAAAAGAATCTTGTCCTACAAGATACAAGATTTAGAATACTGCTTGAAAACATACTGTAACTATTAAAACTAAGTTAACAGGTATGGCCATGGAGAATTTGGAGCTGTCTTACCATGCCTTTAGGCCCCAGAGTGCTCTTGACCAGGTCACCAATAGCAATGGCACCAACAAAGGATGACTGAAATGAAAGCAAATACAGTTTAGAAAAGGATTTACTTCTACTTTAATACAAGCAGATGCTAGCCCATAACTTCCCAGGGGGCATCTTAACCTAACTCTTCCTTTCAGCAGAGTCTGGGTCCAAGTTTCTAACCACTACAATTTGATAACTAGATTAAATATATTCAGTTCTCACCGAAACCTCAAAAGCCTGTCTCATAGCCAAAAGAAATGCCTTCCAATGAACACCATCTTTGGAGCAAAGGTTCTTAGTTTCTGAACACTTATGAGGGGTTTCTCTAATTGTTTGTATAAACAACAATCCTCCTACCTTCTGTTCACAGACATGCAAGAACCATTCAGACAGATGAAGTTCCGCATTACCATACACTGAAAGTGCATTTAACAGTAGAAAAGACAAAGTTTAACTACCCCAGGTATTACCAGTTTCTTTGAGAATTAAACTTACCAACCGAGCTGTTTCTGCCTTTTCTTCATCTGCACCTGCCTTGAAAATGTTCACTGGAGCTAGGGAAATGGATGCCTAAACCAGAGTCAACACAAGAATATTCCCTTAGCTTTAGTAAAGCAATGCATTTTAAAACCAATCCCTGACACTAACAACCTAAACATTGGTTTTATTATTCAAATGATTAAATTTGTATACCCCATCTATTTTTGACAGAAGCATGTTCAACACAGACTTTTGAGAAAGAGCCAAGATTAATTCATCTTGCAATCTCTTAATCACGTGAGCAGATTATAAAACCAATTGCATTCTACTTCTAGAGACTGCAGATCGTGATCTCTGGCAAGATCTATGAGCCTGAAAGGCCATTACCAGCACCTTACATCATGGCAACGTCCATCTTGCTGTCCTGCGTGGCTAACCACCAGATCTGGACAGCCCAAAGATAGGTACAACTAGCAGAACCTAAGAAAATCTAGTTACTGAGCGCACCACAGCTTTACTATTTTGATCTTGTGTGGAGCCCCTTTTTTTTTTTTGCATTTCCATGCAAATTAATTACTTATTAATGACAATTAATGAATATATGCCATTAAAGACTAATACTTACAAAGAACTCAAGAACTTTAATTTATTAGGATCAAATCCCCAAAACACAAATGCATGACTCTCTTTTAAGAGAGTTCTGTCACTTATCACTTTGCTGCATAATCAGCACAGTTTTTCTACCACTTTCACGTCCATCCCATCATCGTTCGACAAGACAAATAGGAATGGAGCGGCAGGGGACGCCACACAGAGCGAAGGCAGCTCTCAGGAGGCCTGGAAGAGCGCCTCTCCCGCGCGGGGACTTGGCGCTGCCTCCCCAGCTCTCCCTGGGAGTCGAGGGGAGGGAAGAAGCGGCCTCCCACTCCGCCTCGCTCACGTCAGCCATGCTGCGGGCCCCGGCACGGGCGGGCCGAGTG